CCGGGCTGTGAAAGATGCGCTCCTAGCCAGGTATGCGGTGACCCCAGAGGCGTACAGGTGGAGGTTTAGAGAAACCAACAAGCTGGTTGGGGACTCTTATGTAGAGTGGGCCTGCAGAGTTCATCGTACCGCAGCCCACTGGATGGCTGGATGCCAAGCGGTAACTGGGGAGGAGGTGTTACAAGTGTTCCTGCTGGAACACTGCTTTGATAGACTACCTGCTGGGGTCCGGGAGTGGGTCAGAGATAGAAAACCCTCTACCCTACCCGAGGCTGCTCGTCTGGCAGACGAATACACGGAAGTTGGATGGTACAGCTGCCAAAGCCCCTGCCAGACTGGAGTATCGACCAGCAGTAATACCCGCTCCTTCAGCCTACCAACCCCCAGTACACCGTAACCCAGCCGCACCGCCAGCTAACTATTTTGTACAGCCTGCACGATTTAATGCCCGTGAATATTCCCAACCCATCCGGTGCTTTGGGTGCAAGCAGTTGGGGCACAAGCGTCCTGAGTGCCCACTGAACAGTGCCAACCAAGCTCAGTCCTGGAGGAGACCAGTCAATGGGAACCAGCGCCCACCTCAGCCTGCTGCTCACTGCATAGAGCAGGAGGAATTCTGGGGCATCCTACATGAGGCAGACCCAGTGCAAGCAGCTCACCAGGATAATCGCCAGCAACATCGGCAAACTGTGAAGCTGAATGGCAGAGTGGTAAATGGGTTGCGAGACACAGGAGCCACGATGACACTACTCCAAAAGAACTTGGTCTCAGAACATCAACACACTGGGGACACTGTGGCTGTAAGGGTAGCAGGGGGTGCTGTGTTTCGCTTACCTGTTGCCCGGGTACATTTGGATTGGGGAGTGGGCGCTAGACATGTGGATGTGGGGGTGATGAAAGACTTGCCCGCAGATGTTCTTCTGGGAAACGATTTGGCCCCTTTGGTTTCAGCATATGCTCCGATGGGCCCTGCAGATGTGAACACCGTGACCACCCGTGCCCAGGCCCGTGCTGCCGGAACCAGCCCACCTGCTGATGAGATCTCCTTCCCCGACTGGTACCCCAGATCAGGTCCCCTTAAGCTGGGATTCCCCAGAGGAGTTTGGGAGGGAAACCCGGGCAGATCCGACCCTCCAAAGATACAAAGACAGGGCAGATGCTGGAGAGGAAGGAATAGATGGGGAAAGGTATGAGTGGGTGGGGGACAGGTTATATAGGATCCCTAAACCTTCCCAGAAGAGTGTTGCCTCTCCGCCGAATCGCCAGTTAGTGGTACCTGCAAAGTACCGGCAGGAGATTCTGCGGATAGGGCATGATGTTCCGTTAGCTGGACATCTAGGGTCCCGCCGCACAGCCTATAGGATCTCGCTGAATTTCTTTTGGCCAAACTTTAACCAGGCTGTGCGGATGTACTGCAGCACGTGTGACACATGTCAACGGGTAGGAAAGCGGGGGGACCACCCTAAGGCTAGGCTGTTATCGATGCCTATTATAGGGGAGCCCTTTGCCCGCATAGCCGTTGACATCGTGGGTCCACTGGCCAGGGCTAGTCCATCAGGTAAGAAATACGTTCTTACCGTGGTGGACTATGCCACTCGCTATCCAGAGGCAGTAGCGCTGTCTAACATAGAGGCAGAGACGGTTGCTGATGCCCTGGTTAGAATTTTTACTAGGGTCGTGTTTCCTAAGGAGATTCTCTCCGACCAGGGAACCCAATTCACCGCTGTGCTCACCCAGCAGCTGTGGAAGGTGTGTGGCATTAAGCCGTTACTTAGCTCACCCTACCACCCACAGACTAACGGTCTCTGCGAGCGCTTTAACGGTACCCTCAAGCAGATGCTGAGGACCTTTACAGACACTTGCAGAGACTGGGAGAGATTCCTGCCTCATCTATTATTTTCTTATAGAGAGGTGCCCCAGGAATCTACTGGGTTCCCCCCCTTTGAGCTGCTGTATGGGAGAAGGGTCCGCGGACCCCTAGATCTCATTAGAGGCCACTGGGAGGGGGAGACGGAGCAAGAGGGGACCCCCATTGTGCCATATGTTCTGGAACTCCGGGACCGTATGGAGAAACTGTCCCTGATGGTAAGGGAGAATCTCCAGACGGCCCAGGGGAGACAGAAGAGATGGTACGATCAGGGTGCCCGACAGCGGGTCTTCCAGGTTAGGCAAAAGGTATTGGTGCTCAAACCTGTGAAGGCCAACAAGATGCAAGCATCTTGGCAGGGCCCGTACAAGGTAGTAGCGCAGATCTGCAATACTACTTACTTGATAGCCAGCTGTGCAGATGAGAGGATCCAGCGATCCTTTCATGTGAACATGCTGAAAGAGTACCAGGAGAGACCTGAGAATATTGCAGCAGTATGTGCCCCAGCTGCAGATGATTCTGAGAATTTACCCCTTCCAGATCTATTAGAAAGGGATTCCCAGACTGACCTTACTACCTTGGTACAGCTAGGGGACCGGTTGAACCCCACAGAAAGGGTACAAGCGCAGCAGTTGTTATGGGAGAAGCAGGCGACGTTCTCCCAGGAACCAGGTTATACCACCCTAGCTGTGCATAAGGTAGAGACCCCTGGACAGACCCCGTTACGACAGCCCCCTTATCGTATCCCTGAAGCAGTCCGTGAAGGAATGCGGAAGGAGATACAGGAGATGACCCAGCTTGGAGTCATCGAGCACTCCGACAGCCCTTGGGCCTCGCCTGTAGTCCTGGTGCCCAAGAAAGATGGGACCACCCAGTTCTGTGTGGACTACAGGCAACTCAACGAGTGGACCACCACTGACGCCTACCCAATGCCCCGGGTAGACGAATTACTGGATCGAATTGCCAGGGGACGATATCTGACCACCATAGACCTGTGTAAGGGCTACTGGCAGATCCCCCTGGCCGAGGATGCTATCCCCAAGTTGGCATTTGTCACCCCATTTGGCCTGTACCAATTTAAGGTCATGCCTTTTGGGATGAAAAATGCACCGGCTACCTTCCAACGGATGGTGGATAGACTCCTGTATGGCTTCCAAGAATTTGCCTGTGCATACTTGGACGACATTGCGATTTACAGTGGGTCCTGGGAGGAACACCTGGTACATGTAGGGGTAGTGCTGGATAAAATTTGGGCCGCTGGCCTGACATTGAAACCAGAAAAGTGCCATCTAGGTATGGCTGAAGTACAGTACCTGGGTCACAGAGTGGGGTGTGGGAGCCAGAGACCAGAGCCAGCCAAGGTAGAGGCAGTGGCTAACTGGCCCACACCTACTACTAAGACCCAGGTATTGGCCTTCTTGGGGACGGCAGGGTACTATAGACGTTTTGTCCCTGACTACAGCGCTATTGCTAAACCCCTGACAGACCTGACCAAGAAAAACTTGCCTAAGCAGGTCCTGTGGTCTCCGGCTTGTGAAGCTGCGTTCCAGGCACTGAAGCAGGCTCTTGTGAATGCCCCTGTCTTGGCAGCCCCAGTCCCTAACAAACGCTTTCTCGTCCATACAGATGCTTCCATGTATGCACTGGGGGCTGTGCTGAGCCAAGTCGGGGAAGATGGAGGAGAGCACCCTGTCGCATATCTCAGCAGAAAGTTGTTACCCAGAGAAGTGAGTTATGCGGCAGTGGAGAAGGAGTGTTTGGCCTTGGTCTGGGCATTGAAAAAGTTAAGCCCCTATTTGTATGGACAAGAATTTTCACTTGTGACTGATCACAACCCACTCGTTTGGCTTAACCGGGTCTCAGGAGACAATGGGAGACTGCTGAGATGGAGCTTGGCCCTACAGCCCTACAATTTTACCATCAGCTACAGACCCGGTAAGCTGAACGGGAATGCAGATGGGTTGTCACGACAAACAGACGTTTCCCTCACCTCGTAGTCCGGTCATCCCCAAGTTGACCCGCCACAGGGTCAAGCCGGGTCTGCCGGAGTGTCCCACAAGGAGGGAGCCGTGTGACAGAACCATCTGTCTGCTTGGATTTTTACTACGTTCGTCTGTTTGTCCCCGTTCGTATGAATGGCTGGTTTCTATAGCCCAGCCATTCGAATGACTCTTTTTCCCGAACAAACCTGCCGAACGAACGGCCACCCAAGTGAGGAGTGTGCTGCTGGTTAACGAAGTGATCCCAATTAGAACGTTGTGGTTAACCGCAGACACTTCTCAATTAAACCGAATTCAGGGTGGTCGTCGTTCGTATGTCGACCACGAGGCAGCGGCCATTTTAAATCAAGCGAACGCCCAGCGGTGTTTGGCTCTATTTCTATGGAACTGAAAACGGACACTTTTTCTGCCGAACACCGCTGAAACAACGGAACGCCTGGCTGCCTCCACGAAAGCATGTGAACACCGGCCGTTCGGGAGATTGAGAGCATACGAAAAGACTTAACCCAGATAGCCTTCCCATGGAGTCATTCGTATACCGAAAGACTGTAAGAACTTTGACTCCATGGCGATTGAACTATGTGTGTGGGATCTGAGCGCTATTCGCTAATAATATGCACTCAGATCCAGGCTATCTGGGGACATGTAATACGAATGGGAAATGTTCAGTTTTTATGTAGTTATATATTTTTATGTCTTTTATTATTTTATGTCTAAGATGGCGACTGGCTTTGTCCTGGAGTTAATTGAGTTACTTGGTAATTAACTCCAGGGCAGAGGGGAGGGAATCATAATGCACTGTGGGTAAAATATGTGACTGTGTGTCTGGGATGTCCCCAGATCTGTCTGTAATTTAAGTCTCCCATTTGGTCCCCTAGGGGAGTGTCCACCAAGTGGGAGACCTGCATAAATACGGGCAGGTAGCCCACAGTAAAGCCAGATTCTGTTTGACCCTCAATGAGGAGCTTCTGTCTCGTTATTGGGGGGGATTTCTTCTTCACGTTTAGAGACTGCTGGATGGAACGAAAGCCGCTTGGGGAATATTGCTGTTCGACGGTTACCAGCAGTTCGTGTATTGCCGTTCGGGAGTTTGGAGCCGTTCACGGATCTCGATCGGGAGATTGTCGTTTCCCCTGCATTTGGTTCGTGTGTTACAGAGTAAGCGAACGGAGACTGTACTGCAGCCGGGGAAGGTCTACTAAACGGAGGTTTGGCTTAAAGACACTAGAGGTGTCTTAACAATTGGTGGCAAGCGACGGGATGAATCCCACAGCATTGGAGGTCAGCTACAAGACATGCAGTACGAGGAATTAAGGCGTGCTACACTTAAGGATATATTGGAACGCCGAGGAAGGTCAGCAAGCAATTTAAAGAAACGGGAGATTATTGCTTTGCTACTGGAGATGGATGCAGCAACGGGAATGGAGAGAGTCAACGTGCCCAGTACTTTGGATTTAACACCCGAGGAAATACAATTTAACCGGGCAGTGCAAATAAGGCTGGCACATTTTGGCCCCAACCCCTCAGCTGACATCGTGGAGCGTGTGCAGGCAGCAGTAGCAGCACAACAGGCGCTCCGGGAAAGAGGAGCTGCAGCAGCAGAGGTACCTTACAATAATAATGTGTTTGCTAGAAAGAAGGTACCTTTTGCTGCATTTAAAAATTTGTGGAGACTGAGGGAGAGATTGATGGGTTCCTAGCGGACTTCGAGAGGCAGTGTGCTCTTCATCAGGTACCTGCAGATGAATGGGTCACCATCCTCTCTGGGAAATTATGTGGCCGGGCTAGTGAGGCGTTCCGGGCCATCCCTGAGGAGGAGATCACCAGCTACCGGGCTGTGAAAGATGCGCTCCTAGCCAGGTATGCGGTGACCCCAGAGGCGTACAGGTGGAGGTTTAGAGAAACCAACAAGCTGGTTGGGGACTCTTATGTAGAGTGGGCCTGCAGAGTTCATCGTACCGCAGCCCACTGGATGGCTGGATGCCAAGCGGTAACTGGGGAGGAGGTGTTACAAGTGTTCCTGCTGGAACACTGCTATGATAGACTACCTGCTGGGGTCCGGGAGTGGGTCAGAGATAGAAAACCCTCTACCCTACCCGAGGCTGCTCGTCTGGCAGACGAATACACGGATGCCCGCAAGTTGGATGGTACAGCTGCTAAAGCCCCTGCCAGACTGGAGTATCGACCAGCAGTAATACCCGCTCCTTCAGTCTACCAACCCCCAGTGCACCGTTGTTAAGACACCTCCCGTGTCTTTAAGTCAAACCGCCGTTTAGTAAACCTTCCCCGGCTGCAGTACAGTCTCTGTTCGCTTACTCTGTAACCCACGAACCAAATGCAGGGGAAGCGCCAATCTCCCGATCGAAATCCACGAACGGCTCCAAACTCCCGAACGGCAATATACGAACTGCTATGAACCGTCGAACAATAATATCCCCAAAGCGGCTTAAGTTCCATCCAGCAGTCTCTAACCGTGAAGAAGAAATCCCCCCAATAACGAGACAGAAGCTCCGCATTGAGGGTCAAATAAGATCTGGTTTTACTGTGGGCTACCTGCCCGTATTTATGCAGGTCTCCCACCTGGTGGACACTCCCCTAGGGGACCAAATGGAAGACTTAAATTACAGACAGATAGAAGGACATTTCTGACACACAGTCACCTCTCTTACCCACAGTGCATTCTGATTCCCTCCCCTCTGTCCTGGAGTTAATTACCAAGTAACTCAATTAACTCCAGGACAAGGACAGTCGCCATTTTAAACATAAAATAATAAAAGACATAAAAATGCATAACTACATGAAAACTGAACATTTCCCATTCGTATTACATGTCCCCAGATAGCCTGGATCTGAGTGCATATTATTGGCGAATAGCGCTCAGATCCCACACACATAGTTCAATCGCCATGGAGTCAAAGTTCTTACAGTCTTTCGGTATACGAATGACTCCATGGGAGGGCTATCTGGGTTAAGTCTTTTGTATGCTCTCAATCTCCCGAACGGCCGGTGTTCGCATGCTTTCGTGGAGGCAGCCAGGCGTTCCCTTGTTTCAGCGGTGTTCGGCAGAAAAAGTGTCCGTTTTCAGTTCCATAGAAATAGAGCCAAACACCGCTGGGCGTTCGCATGATTTAAAATGGCCGCTGCCTCGTGGTCGACATACGAACGACGACCACCCTGAGTTCGGTTTAATTGAGAAGTGTCTGCGGTTAACCACAACGTTATAATGGTGATCACTTCGTTAACCTGCAGCACACTCCTCACTTGGGTGGCCGTTCGTTCGGCAGATTTGTTCGGGAAAAAGAGTCATTCGAATGGCAGGGCTATAGAAACCAGCCATTCATACGAACGGGGACAAACAGACGAACGGGCAAAAATCCAGCAGACAGATGGTTCTGTCACAACCGTAACCCAGCCGCACCGCCAGCTAACAATTTTGTACAGCCTGCACGATTTAATGCCCGTGAATATTCCCAACCCATCCGGTGCTTTGGGTGCAAGCAGTTGGGGCACAAGCGTCCTGAGTGCCCACTGAACAGTGCCAACCAAGCTCAGTCCTGGAGGAGACCAGTCAATGGGAACCAGCGCCCACCTCAGCCTGCTGCTCACTGCATAGAGCAGGAGGAATTCTGGGGCATCCTACACAAGGCAGACCCAGTGCAAGCAGCTCACCAGGATAATCGCCAGCAACATCGGCAAACTGTGAAGCTGAATGGCAGAGTGGTAAATGGGTTGCGAGACACAGGAGCCACGATGACACTACTCCAAAAGAACTTAGTCTCAGAGCATCAACACACTGGGGACACTGTGGCAGTAAGGGTAGCAGGGGGTGCTGTGTTTCGCTTACCTGTTGCCCGGGTACATTTGGATTGGGGAGTGGGCGCTAGACATGTGGATGTGGGGGTGATGAAAGACTTGCCCGCAGATGTTCTTCTGGGAAACGATTTGGCCCCTTTGGTTTCAGCATATGCTCCGATGGGCCCTGCAGATGTGAACACCGTGACCACCCGTGCCCAGGCCCGTGCTGCCGGAACCAGCCCACCTGCTGATGAGATCTCCTTCCCCGACTGGTACCCCAGATCAGGTCCCCTTAAGCTGGGATTCCCCAGAGGAGTTTGGGAGGGAAACCCGGGCAGATCCGACCCTCCAAAAGTACAAAGACAGGGCAGATGCTGGAGAGGAAGGAATAGATGGGGAACGGTATGAGTGGGTGGGGGACAGGTTATATAGGATCCCTAAACCTTCCCAGAAGAGTGTTGCCTCTCCGCCGAATCGCCAGTTAGTGGTACCTGCAAAGTACCGGCAGGAGATTCTGCGGATAGGGCATGATGTTCCGTTAGCTGGACATCTAGGGTCCCGCCGCACAGCCTATAGGATCTCGCTGAATTTCTTTTGGCCAAACTTTAACCAGGCTGTGCGGATGTACTGCAGCACGTGTGACACATGTCAACGGGTAGGAAAGCGGGGGGACCACCCTAAGGCTAGGCTATTATCGATGCCTATTATAGGGGAGCCCTTTGCCCGCATAGCCGTTGACATCGTGGGTCCACTGGCCAGGGCTAGTCCATCAGGTAAGAAATACGTTCTTACCGTGGTGGACTATGCCACCCGCTATCCAGAGGCAGTAGCGCTGTCTAACATAGAGGCAGAGACGGTTGCTGATGCCCTGGTTAGAATTTTTACTAGGGTCGGGTTCCCTAAGGAGATTCTCTCCGACCAGGGAACCCAATTCACCGCTGTGCTCACCCAGCAGCTGTGGAAGGTGTGTGGCATTAAGCCGTTACTTAGCTCACCCTACCACCCACAGACTAACGGTCTCTGCGAGCGCTTTAACGGTACCCTCAAACAGATGCTGAGGACCTTTACAGACACTTGCAGAGACTGGGAGAGATTCCTGCCTCATCTATTATTTTCTTATAGAGAGGTGCCCCAGGAATCTACTGGGTTCTCCCCCTTTGAGCTGCTGTATGGGAGAAGGGTCCGCGGACCCCTAGATCTCATTAGAGGCCACTGGGAGGGGGAGACGGAGCAAGAGGGGACCCCCATTGTGCCATATGTTCTGGAACTCCGGGACCGCATGGAGAAACTGTCCCTGATGGTAAGGGAGAATCTCCAGACGGCCCAGGGGAGACAGAAGAGATGGTACGATCAGGGTGCCCGACAGCGGGTCTTCCAGGTTGGGCAAAAGGTATTGGTGCTCAAACCTGTGAAGGCCAACAAGATGCAAGCATCTTGGCAGGGCCCGTACAAGGTAGTGGCGCAGATCTGCGACACTACTTACTTGATAGCCAGCTGTGCAGATGAGAGGATCCAGCGGTCCTTTCATGTGAACATGCTGAAAGAGTACCAGGAGAGACCTGAGAATATTGCAGCAGTATGTGCCCCAGCTGCAGATGATCCTGAGAATTTACCCCTTCCAGATCTATTAGAAAGGGATTCCCAGACTGACCTTACTACCTTGGTACAGCTAGGGGACCGGTTGAACCCCACAGAAAGGGTACAGGCGCAGCAGTTGTTATGGGAGAAGCAGGCAACGTTCTCCCAGGAACCAGGTTATACCACCCTAGCTGTGCATAAGGTAGAGACCCCTGGACAGACCCCGTTACGACAGCCCCCCTACCGTATCCCTGAAGCAGTCCGTGAAGGAATGCGGAAGGAGATACAGGAGATGACCCAGCTTGGAGTCATCGAGCACTCCGACAGCCCTTGGGCCTCGCCTGTAGTCCTGGTGCCCAAGAAAGATGGGACCACCCGGTTCTGTGTGGACTACAGGTGACTCAACGAGCGGACCACCACTGACGCCTACCCAATGCCCCGGGTAGACGAATTACTGGATCGTATTTCCAGGGGAAGATATCTGACCACCATAGACCTGTGTAAGGGCTACTGGCAGATCCCCCTGGCCGAGGATGCTATCCCCAAGTTGGCATTTGTCACCCCATTTGGCCTGTACCAATTTAAGGTCATGCCTTTTGGGATGAAAAATGCACCGGCTACCTTCCAACGGATGGTGGATAGACTCCTAGATGGCTTCCAAGAATTTGCCTGTGCATACTTGGACGACATTGCGATTTACAGTGGGTCCTGGGAGGAACACCTGGTACATGTAGGGGCAGTGCTGGATAAAATTCGGGCCGCTGGCCTGACATTGAAGCCAGAAAAGTGCCATCTAGGTATGGCTGAAGTACAGTACCTGGGACACAGAGTGGGGTGCGGGAGCCAGAGACCAGAGCCAGCCAAGGTAGAGGCAGTGGCTAACTGGCCCACACCTAATACTAAGACCCAGGTATTGGCCTTCTTGGGGATGGCAGGGTACTATAGACATTTTGTCCCTGACTA